AACATCGGGATGAGCTTATATTATATCTTTAAAAATGTCAATAATTAAGAAATAACCTTTTAGTTCACAAGTCACGGCAGTCACATAGTGACTGCAAGGTCGCTAGTATATAATAAATCTAATAATTTTTACATTTTTTTCAAAAATAAAATTTCAATCTGTCAGAACTATATTAAAAACTGTAAAAATTAATATTTAAAATAAAACTTATAGAAATATAATTTCTAATTTCAAATTGTAATTTTTTTTTTTTTTATTAAAGCTTCACATTTCAGTACACCATATTATTTTATTATTTTTTTCTTTGTACTGTAAATTAAAAAATAATTATTAATTATTAATTGCTATAAATTATAAAATAATCAAATTTTTCCTCATAAAATTATTGTAAGTATTTTAATTATTTATAATAAATTATTATTTCCAAAATTTGAAAACTGTGAACATTTCATTATAATAGGGATAAGAATCAAATTTAACCGCCTGTTTTTTGACATTCTTAATAGCACCTCTAAATTTATCCATTTCTTTGCCTGCAACATCACTTTTGTACTGGGAATAATTATTCATATAAAGCGATAACAATCTTGCAGTATTGCCACGAATGAAGTTACTATTATTTGGAGTTTTTACTTTATTTAATTCAGGCACCAGTTTCAAAATAAAATCATAACAAATTTCATTCGTAGAAGGATTGTATCTGCGATCACCGAGGTATTGATACGCGATGAGAAACCTCGCACACTCTTCTGACAGCCTCTCGAAGCTCCATTCCAAGCTGTCCAAATTAACCGTCTTAAGAACTTGAAGATTCATTGCGTCAATTATCTTGATAGTAACATCTAAGAATTTTTTTTCGCCGTAAATCGCGTAATGTTGCAGCACTTTAGTACCAAATTTACAAACAAATGAAAATTTATCTGACTCTATGTTCCATTTGGGAAATGCCCGATCGAGTTCTGCCGCAGTATCAGAACTTTTTAGGAGCTTATTGATAATTTCATGCTCTGCGGGCCTTAGATAAGAGTAATTACTCATGCATATTCTTTTTATTTCCTCGCTAACGGGGTCTTTTTTAAATACAAAGGCAAAAAGGTATACAGCAATGGCATTTAATGTCATTAGAATCACGAGGATAAACAGAAGCACGTAAGCGGCTTTTTTACCCATTTGGGGTACTCTGCTTCTTATTGCGTCCATTGTTAAAATCGAAGGTTGATAAGAACTTGCAATTGTAGTCTAATTAGAGAAATTAGTTTAGGTATATGTTTGACTATGACTCAATAGAAGATTTTAATTTTTACGTGACTGTAATTCGTCTTATAGATAAATTGACATGAGTCAATAATGATCTATGAGCTAGTTACTCATTACTGTGTCATAGATAATTAAAATTTGTTACTGCTAAAAAGAATAATTGAAAAAAATTAATCTTCACTATAAATAAATAAAATTTTGCTTCATTAAATAATGATTTTTGTTAAATTGCACTGCACTTTTTTAAATATTGACGTTTTTAAATATATAAGCTCATTCCGATGTTACACTTATCAAGAGCTTTCATTTGAGTACCCACATGCATTTTTGATATATTTTTCATATATACTTATATATAATATATATAAATATATAAAAATTGATGTGGGTATTCAAATGAAAGGTCTCGATGAGTGTAACATCGGAATGAGCTTATATCTTTAAAAGTGTCAATAGATCTCAAGATACAAGGTCATTTCTTAATTATTGATATTTTTAAAGATGTAAGCTCATCTCGATGTTACACTCATGAAGAGCTTTCATTTGAGTACCCACATGCATTATTGATATATTTTTCATATATACATATATATAAATATATAAAATATATGAAAAATTGATGTGAGTA